AGTATCATAATCGAGTCTAGGGGTCAGGTGTAACTTTCCAGTTTTGCCCACTAATCTCTAAGGTCCAGGGCAATACTAGAAATCTGGTACGGTTCAGGGTTTCAAGTAAACCTACACTGCATGTGCTTTGGGTTTCACCCTGGTAGCTGAGAGATGCCACCCCAACACTTGGCAGCACACCAGTGTCAGCCTTAGCAGGATAAATCTCCCCAGACTTATCCAACGGCTATGAACATTCTAAACTAACACGAGCCTTATTAAGTGTCCAGTTTAAGGGTATTACACAGAAACACACCACAAGAACATGAATCAAATATGTACTTTATTCATTTACAATAAATGTCATAAATACATCATTCTGATTGGAGCTAAGGGCATACACTATCTAACAAATGCATCTCAATTAAAGCTTAAGCCCTCTCAAAAAGAAAACATTTCCTACTACCATGGCTGTAGCTTGGACAATCTAGAGACCCCTCTCAAAACATCACAGCAATTGGTGCTTGATGGTGGTCGCAGGAAATCTTCTCCTCTCAAACGGGCTAGTGGCCTCTCGGCTTTGCTTAGGACGGTTTTTTGATCTTGTCAACAGGATTTGTCCTTTAATGAAGTTGATAACACTTGAGAGTTTTGACATAAATTATTTTACAATTTTGTTCTTCGTTTAATTTCATCCACAAGTTAGATATATATGGAACCCTTTTGGTTTAATGTTTGTACACGATGCTGGAATTTGGGGGACCCTTGAAGGTCAGTTGATAAGGTCTGTGGAGACTTGGGATCAAATCCCGCCTTCTCCATGGAACCAAAACAGAAAAATGCAGGGGGGGACACTTGAGTATAAGCGAGTGTGGTTGCTTTCCTGTTGCTGGAATCTGGAATTTGAGGGAAGACTTCATCGTATATAGTTGCTTGCTTCATGAGAATGTTTCTCTGTTGTTACTTATTTTCCTTTGCTGGTTTGTATAAGTTTCCAAGTCTTCTGTCATGTATTGGAGCATTATACTGATGGACAGGATTTGGCCAAGCTTTTGGGTTCAAATTCTCAAGAAGCCAAGATAAGCATCCTCAAAGATGTTAGTGGCATCATCAAGCCTGGAAGGTAAGACTAACAAGTTTTACCAGTCCAGAACATTCATAGTTTTTCTAATGATTAATCCAGAAAGGAATTATATTGATCATTCTTCCATGTGTTTGTCTGTGTGTGTGTGTTTAACTGCTAATGTTTATTTTATGTGATGATGAACTGATTGAATACTGTTACTGTAGAAATACATAATGCATAGTCATGCATCCTTGTTTTTGTAATTGTCGTCATCATCATCATTCATCATCCGCCCTGTGTTGCTCATGTGGGTTGGCTGCATACTGTTCCGGACCATGCATCATTATATTGTTATATGAAAAATTTGAAGATTTAACTGTTTACCTACTTGATTTAGCATATATAACATTTGGTTTTTCAGATATAGGTGAAATCTTGGAAATTCCATAACACTACATTATGCTTCTTGGGTTGCAGGTTGACTCTATTGCTTGGCCCTCCAGGCTGTGGGAAAACCACCTTGTTGTTAGCGCTTTCCAGGAAACTAGACCAGTCTCTCAAGGTTCTTTTTACACCATTTTCTTTATCCAAAGAAATTTGTTATTGTTATGAATGGATACAAAAGAAAAAGAGATTTGCACCAAAAGGGTAGGGTAATGGTGGCACTTGCAGTGGAAGCAATCATCTAGATATCTAGGCGAAATCCACATCCTACTAGGTGACTCAATATAATATTTTCTTTCCATTTTTAGATGTGTATGCACCATTTACACCATTTACACTAAATTGTATAAATGGTTGTGTTCTTCCCATAGAAGTGGTTTTGGGTTAGTTTTCCCATCATGGTGACTTTTTTCTGTACCAAGTAAAACGTCTGTATCTGCTATTTTTCCTTTGAAGACTACACAACACAATTCACATTTTTATCCATTATCACTGATTTGTGATTCTTTGTAAATAAAATTCAGGTTACAGGAGAAATTACTTACAATGGTTACAGACTAGAAGAATTTGTTCCTTGGAAAACATCAGCTTATATAAGCCAATATGACCTGCACATTCCTGAGATGACTGTAAGAGAAACTCTTGATTTCTCTGCTTGTTGCCAGGGTGTTGGAAGCCGGCCAGGTAGACTTCTTCTGTTTATATGTTTGTTGGCAATTTTGGTTGTGGGCTCCCAATCAGTCCAGGTTCAGAAGTTCATGCTAACAACAATTCGTTGCTTGTGTGTGAAGAGATTATGAGGGAGGTCAGTAGAAGGGAGAAGCAAGCCGGCATTTATCCGGATCCAGATATAGATACTTACATGAAGGTACTATTTATGATTTCTTTTCTTCTAATATTCCATGCTTGCTAAGTGATAGTATATAATTATGAAGCACTGGTGTGGATAGAAGTGACAGTTGGAGAATGGATCAGTAAATTTTGAACTGATTCATACTCCTGAGTCCTGTCTACATAAACATCAATGAATCAGGCATTATCCCCTTGGAGAGGAGGCAATTAATGGTGACAATTTTAACCAACATTGCATTCCACATGAAGAATGATACTTTTGAGGGTACAAGGCCTTTCAGATCCATTTCCAAGGAGCTGAAAGTGAAAGATAACTCACCCAATTTAGTTATTGAAAATTTGTGCAAGTAACAACAATAAAGCAGTCTTGCTTTATTCTGCAGTTGGATTATATTTGGCTTGCTCTAGTAGTTTTCTTCATGACAAACAATTTTTTTATAACAGGCAATTTCTGTTGAAGGGCTAGAGAAAACACTTCAAACAGACTACATCTTAAAGGTATACCCTCCAAGAGAGATGAAATGATGTTTCTTTCTCATTCTTTTTAAACTCATGTAGCCCACTTTTATGACGATTTTGCTACAACTCTTGTGTCTTTCAGATCCTTGGACTAGATATCTGTGCTGATACAATGGTTGGAGATGCCATGAGAAGAGGCATTTCAGGTGGTCAAAAGAAGAGATTAACTACAGGTACTGTGAATCACAAGCAGAGAGCTTTTCCAAGTAGTAATGCATAATTTGGTGCTTTAGAATCTAGATTTACATCTTAGAATCTTAAATTTATGATTAATTCTATCAGGAACAAATCAGTCCCTTAAAGAATCCTTATGCATCAAATTCCTTGGGGAGTTCCCGTAGAATTAACTGAACTAAAGGCTTGCCATTAGAATCTTTTGAATAATGCAGTTCTAGTATTTCCAGTGATAAAGTAAGGTTATTTCAAATTGGAATTAACTTTGGTTAGTAGAATCTTACTACTACTCAGGCGTGAAAATATTGAGTAAGAGTCTCAACTCTTATGGGAAACCTTCGTTCCCCACATTTCAGTGGACTCAATTTTAAGAGGTTAGTTTAGACTCTCAATATAAAAATCACCTCTAAGAAACTTTCTTCTTCTGAATTTACAAACAGGGGAGATGATTGTAGGACCAACCAAAGCTCTGTTTATGGATGAAATATCAACAGGTTTAGACAGTTCCACTACTTTCCAGATTGTTGCTTGTCTTCAACATCTGGTGCAAATCACAGATGCTACGGCATTGATTTCACTTCTTCAGCCAGCACCAGAGACCTACAATCTCTTTGATGACATTGTCCTGATGGCTGAAGGGAAAATTGTGTACAATGGCCCATGTGATCATGTTCTCGAATTCTTTGAAGATTGTGGGTTTAGATGTCCAGAAAGAAAAGGGACTGCTGACTTTCTCCAAGAGGTGTTTTCAAACGTTCTCTCTCTCTCTCTCTCTCTCTCTCTCTCTCTCTCTCTCTCTCAAATGTGAAATAAAACTTAAGTATTTTTTTTTTTTGCAGGTTCTCTCTAGAAAGGATCAAGAACAATATTGGCACCGTACAGATAAGCCCTACAATTATGTTTCTGTCAATCAATTCTCTAGTAAATTCAAGGAATTTCATATTGGGCAGAAGCTAGATGAGGAGCTTTCAAAGCCGTATGATAAGTCCCAGAGCCACCAGGATGCTTTATCCTTTAGTGTATATTCTCTACCTAAATGGGAGCTTTTCAGAGCATGCATGGCAAGGGAGTTTCTACTCATGAGGAGGAATTCTTTTGTCTATGTATTCAAATCCACTCAGGTATTAACCAGCTTGTTGGCAATATGTCTGAGATTCTTTCACTCTTATCAATATTTAAGATGGTTCTCTAGGGCCCTAGGCATCTGATAGCATCTTCTGTACTTCCTCTATGCAGCTTTTTGTCATTGCATCTATCACAATGACTGTTTTTCTGCGGAGTCGGATGGGTGTTGATGTGGCCCATGCGAATTATTATATGGGTTCTTTATTTTATGCACTTGTCATACTTACCACTGATGGATTTCCAGAGTTATCCTTGACAGTTTCAAGACTTGCTGTGTTCTACAAACAGAGAGAGATGTATTTTTATCCAGCTTGGGCTTACTCCATCCCAACTGCTGTTCTAAAGATTCCACTTTCGTTGGTGGAATCATTTGTTTGGACAACTCTTACCTACTATGTCATTGGGTACAGTCCTGAATTTGGAAGGTATCAAACTATCATTTAGCAAGTTACAGTTAGACATATCCAAGGTACAAAATAGACCATAAGGATTTTACTTTTATGTCTACAGTTGATTTCTTCTCTTCAGAACAATAACCTACTTCGAAAATGTCTGATGGTGATGCTCTCTGCTATATATTGCTACAAACTCAATATCTCACTCTCCATCTGTTTAATACTGTGTTTATTAGGTACATCCGCCAGTTCTTTCTACTTTTTTCTGTGCATCAAATGTCAACATCTTTGTTCCGTTTTATTGCCTCAATCTTCCAGACTGTGCCCACTGCTTTGACAGCTGGTCTCCTTTGTTTACTTTTCCTTTTCTTATTTGGTGGCTTCATTATCCCACAACGTAAGCTTGTTTTTTCTATAGCTTTTATCTGCGCAGGCACCAGCTTCCAAATTGTTCATCAAATGCATTTATTTGATGTTGATGGTAGATGGTTTTGCTGTTGCAGCCTCTATGCCAGTTTGGTTGAAATGGGGATTCTGGGTTTCCCCATTGACATATGGAGAGATAGGTCTAACTGTGAATGAATTTCTTGCTCCACGGTGGCAAAAGGTGAGCGTTAATTGAAGTACCTGACAATGAAATGTTGGTTCTTGAGACAAGCTAAGTTAGAAATCTCTTATCTCTTGTTCTGTTCTATTAAGCCTCAATGTAATATACGTGTCTGTTTGGCATCGTTGCCGTTGCTCCAGAAAACGGTGACACATCAGCACCACGTCGTAAAAAACGGTGCTCCAGGAAATGCTTGTTTGTTTGGGACCATTTTTCCATAAAAATGGTGCTCCAAGCCATGCCTTGGAAATCAAGAAGGCGTGGTTTGGAGCAACGTTGAATTTGGATTTTCCTAGAGCTGCAGCTCGTTGCTGCCAAATAATAGGTACCAGTGCTGAAAACGTTTCCTGGAGCATTGGTATCAAATAGAAAACGTTGCTGTTGCTCCAGGAAATGTCCTACCTGGCAGCAACATTTCCAAACAAAAAAAGACACCATTATCTCAGAAAACGGTGCTTCCAACCCAAGAAAACAGTGCTGTATCTGCAGCATCAATGCCAAACATATACTACATGTAAGGCCAGCTGAGGAGGTGGAGGCTTGATTTGTGTAGCATCCAATTTTACTAATCATCTGTTCTCCAATCTTCTATATAGATGTCATCAAGCACAAACACCACAATAGGGAGACAAATACTTGAAAGCCGTGGACTAAACTTTGATGGCTACTTTTATTGGATATCACTCGGTGCCTTATTGGGATTTGCAGTGCTTTTCAACATTGAATTCACCTTGGCCTTGAAGTCTTTAAAGCGTAAGTTTATCTCCCACTCAGTAGGTCCATTTAGAGAAAAGCTCTACTACACATGTCTGTTCACCACCTATTGATACATATCCAGCTTTTGGGATCTCTAGTGCTATTATTTCACACGAAAAGCTCTCTCAAATACAAGGAAGAGAAAATAACAGCAATGGTGCATATTCAGAGGAGAATCTCACTGATATCTCTTTACAAACCACTGCAGAACCCAAGAAAGGTGAGACCATAACCATTGTTATCTGTTCTATTATATTTTGAGAAAACCTATAGGGAGTATAACTGTAAAACTATGCCAGTATTGAGCAATACCATAAACAAATATATAAGCCAGTATTGAGGTTTAAATTTTTCTTGTTTTCATATCTCCCCCAACTCACCAGAAAAAAAAAATCATGATAATTGGAACAGTAGTATTCAGAAAAGATGCACGTGCTGGCATGCATACAACAGCTTAAGCATTAGTGCTCAATTCAATGATTGCTGCTAGCAGCAAGAAAATGACCGTACGTTAAGCAATGGGCTTTTGTGCTAGAGCTCAGTCTGTTGCTTGCTGCTTCCATTTTCTCACTTATTGCAACAGATGGAAATGATAATGAGTGATAAAAATAGACAATTTAAAGCTTTACAAGTAACAAATATGTAATCTTTGTGGCTTTTGGACATTAATGCATACTGTGTCATTTTTCTCTCCTTGTTTGTTTATTTGATGATACCAATTGCCATAGCTTCTTTCACAGGAAAGATGATTTTACCTTTTGAGCCCCTAACAGTGGTATTTAAGGATGTGCAGTATTACATTGACACTCCTCTGGTAATTATGTTTAAAAACTCTTCGTATATTAAATTATGATTAATTTCTAGACAAATACAGGGAGCAGTTAAATGAAATGAGTTGGTTCACTCTGTTGGTCCTTTGGTGTCAGGAAATGAGAGAACGGGGTTTTTCACAGAAAAAGCTTCAACTTCTTCGTGACATTACAGGTGCATTTAGACCTGGTGTTCTTACAGCCTTGATGGGAGTTACTGGAGGTGGGAAGACAACTCTCTTGGATGTCCTTTCTGGAAGAAAAACTGGTGGTACCATTGAAGGAGAAATTAGAATTGGTGGGTATCCTAAGGTCCAAGAGACATTTGCTAGGGTATCAGGTTACTGTGAGCAGATGGACGTACATTCTCCACAAATCACTGTAGAAGAATCAGTGATATATTCTGCTTGGCTGAGGCTTCCACCTCAAATTGATTCAAATACTAAATCTGTATGCTATCCTTCAAGAATGGTAAAAGAATTGTCATTGTTTCTGAATGATGGCACTGTAATAAAATTGGTACTACATTATTCTTACAGGAGTTCGTACAAGAAGTTCTTGAAACAATTGAGCTTGATGGAATTAAAGATGCTCTACTAGGAATGCCTGCCATCAGTGGTTTATCAACTGAGCAACGTAAACGGCTTACAATATCTGTGGAGCTTGTTTCCAATCCATCTATTATTTTCATGGATGAACCCACATCAGGTTTAGATGCAAGAGCAGCTGCGGTTGTCATGCGGGCAGTGAAGAATGTGGTTGATACAGGAAGAACAGTTGTTTGCACAATCCACCAACCAAGTATTGATATCTTTGAAGCTTTTGATGAGGTATAATGGTAAACATGGTGTTACCAGTTTTCCTTATTTTCTTTTCCTTTTGTTGTCAATGTGCTTAGATTTTATTTGAAGGCATAGATTATCATCTCAATGCCATGTTTTGATTTTTCTGCAGCTGATTTTAATGAAAACTGGAGGAAGGATTGTCTATTCTGGACCATTGGGTCAGCATTCAAGCAGGGTTATTGAATATTTTCAGGTAAGTTTGATACAGTGATGCTTTACTCTGGAAAGTTAGTTATTTTGTCCGTTACTCTTACAAAAATACTGCTTCCTGTGCCCAGCTAATATTTCATTGCAACTCTTGATTTCATTTCCCTTTCCCTCTCCTCTTATGGCAGGGTATCTCTGGGGTGCCAAAGATCAAAGACAACTACAATCCAGCAACATGGATGTTAGAAATCACTTCTATATCTGTTGAAGCAGAGCTTGGTGTAGATTTTGCTCAACTTTACAGAGAGTCCACCTTTTATGAGTGAGTATAACTAGCAAAGTATTTTTGATTGTGGAAGTGCCTAAAGGCAGCATGGGACACTGCCATTTGTAAGCAAAACACTGCAGGGTCTCTAATCTATAAAATAGGCTAATGTAAATGTGTAATTTATATGCTTATTGATCCTGGATCACCATTAAATTAATGCCTCTTCAGATTGTGGCATTTC